GGCGGCAGCCTGAGAATTGGCGTCATTTTCTTGCAGCGTTACCGCGTGTTCGGAAATTCGCGTCTTGAGAGGTCTTCTAACTTCTCTGACGTAGTCTCTTCGTCCGTAATTGCACCAAATGCTAAAGACATGTCCATATCTTTCTTGCCGTGGCAATGGATTTTTTGGTTCAATTATCTGAGGCCTTGTGTTTGTCCCCGATCTATGTGCGACTCGAACTCCAAGCGGTGCGAGAAGGCGGCCGACGGCCACTGAGACGCTTTTCACGTATGGAAACGTACGAAGCTATTTTAGTTCGACAACTTTGTCTTCCGGTTCACTGAGTGCGTCTCTAGACGTTGTTAAAACACCCGTACGCAACTGTCTTTGTGGCTGATTAGGCGGTTACTGTTGAATTTCAGCACTTGCGTCTTATCCATCACTTTTCCGAATATTTTTTCTTTAGATCACCACTAATATTCCGGCAGACGAGGTCATAAAGGAAGGTCGGGTGGCTGTTTTCTACCTCTTCCATCCTGAAGTGTATGTTCAGGATGACGCTGGTAAGACTTCCTTTGAACGTGAGCACCCTTTCCCGTTCGATGACGCCAAAGGTATCGTTTACATACCGCGCCCACAATTTTGGTCTGCGGTGTTGGAAAATCAACGACTCTAACTGTTGTAGTACCCCCACAGTTATGAGTTCCGAAATCGCTGAACTCATTGGTGTTCCTTTCACCGGCTCTTAGATTGTTTCGTCAAACGTGAAGTACGTCCTGAGCCAGGACTTCAGACGTTGTAGGATTTTAGCGTGCCCGAGGCGTTTCTCCGCCTCGTCGTATTCGTTTCATTTGACGAACCTCGGCCACACATTAAAGTTTGATGCGGCCGAACTTGCCGCCAGGAGACGACAATCGTATAAGCCGCGAGTTTCTTTAGCCAGGGTCCACCGGCTTCCAGTTTATTAACAAACCCTGTGACATTTTTTAAAATATATATTTGGCGATGAGACTCATTTAGGCCAAATTAATTACTTACTCGAGAGCGCACAGGCACACAGCTTCTTTCCAACGCCAGTACTGATGAATCAGTTGGCCGAACAGTCATCACATCAAAATTTAACACGGGTGACTAATTTCAGCCGGTGACGTCCCGAACACTGCCCATCAGGCACCTAGCGCTCCGGAGGGCAACCATCCGCGATGAAGGGGGAAACTTTAATTGTCGTAGGCATAGAATAGCATACGGACTGTATCCTATAAATACTACAAAATTCTGCGTACCAAGTACCTTTATCGGCTGTTGTTTGCTAGCGTTAATTCAAAACTTCAGGCAAATAGGTTTCTTCTCTCAGCATTATCGCAAAGTTACTGTGTGATTATTCCCGGTATTAATTCAACGTCCCCATAAACGATTTTTAAATAGCATGTATGTTTCGAGTAGACTGCAGTAAGTAAAGTTCTTTACCATTATTTCACGTCATTTATGGTTCAGCTTTTGTAAAACTATTTTAGAAGGTCAAAGTGCATGCATCTTAAGGTAATAGATCTCGGCTATTTTTGCCGCAATAAAGTCGAGGTTTATCAGCAGTGCATGAGTAGGCAAACGCCGCTGAGTATTTAAATATATTCGAGGCGGTGGGGGAACAAATGGGACAGTAATGATATAGGTTTATGGTTTCACGATATCTTACCATAATGGGCGTATAATGCTGATTAAACAATGCCAAAAAATTAATATGTTAAAGTATGCAACTAGAGTACACATTTTTTCGGCTGTCATCTACTTGGCCCGCCAACCGTTAGCTCACATCATTTACATAAATTATTCGTTCAAATCCCCCGCTGTCTTGTTTGGTCTCCGCTCCAGCACGCGCCGTGTCCAGTATTGCGTAGCAAGAAGACTAAACTGGGAGGAATTTTCTGTACGCTTCGTCAAGCTATCTTCGGATGAATCATCGTCTATTTTTACCAGAACCTTTACACAGAGATGCCGGCTGCCTCCCGACTCAAACCAACCAATCAAGTATTCATTGCCCTCTTATTGGCTTTACGGTTTAAGCAGGTGGTTGCCTTAACATCCTTGGATTTTTTACACTTATCCTCAAGTTCACTAAACACCAAAACTGAGCTCCTTTACAAAGCAAATGCAGTAAGTCAAGTTATTTATATTACTGCAATGTGCCGTGGCTGTGAGATTTGAGTGTGTCAGTGTAGAAAATTATATATATATATATATAAATTTTTTAGGACTAAAGATTGAATACATTCTGGGCAAGTTAAGCAAATAATTTTACGTTCGCGTGCAGCGTTTTTTTCCCGCGTTATGTTTAAATATTGAGTGGACCTTTGAATGAAACATCCACATGCATCTAGTTATATATTCAGGATACATTTGCAGTCAAAATCAGGAAATGTTTACCGCACTATAGCAGCAAATTTCGAAGACAATTTGGAAGAAGTCCTTAGACATATGGAGCACGATATTGAGGGAGATGATTAACAGGGAAAAAAGTGTACTTACACTAGCAGGAATAATAGATGTTCCGCAGATTCTTCCAAATGTGCAACAATGCACTGATTTTATATATTTACAGTTTTTAAGCACAATTTAGTAAGCAGTATATGCTCGATTTCCTGAAGCTGTAATTGATCACACACTGAAAAAAATATTCGGACACAAACCTTGAAAAATCGTGCTTGGTATCTCTATTTAAAATCATTGAAAAATTGGCGCTACAAGCGCTCCTACTATCGACAATGAATACCGTTATAATGATATGCATGAATTCTCTTAGCTATTCATTCTACTTTTAACATGCTATACTAACTTCCAGAGATTTCCTGATAACATTAGTTTATTTTTTATCTATAAAGTTTATTCGGTGGTGTGGTATTTAACATTGGAAATGCATATGTAAAATCGCCAATGGTTTAAGACATTAACAGAATACTGTCGATTGAACAGAAATGAAACACAAAGCTTTTACAGCTTATTTATTTATCTGATTTGGGAACCACAGATTGTAGAATATTATTACTGAATGCGTTATGCGATCTTAGGAAATAGCTGCGAGCGCAGAAGCATATAAAAATTCCTTTCCAATCGCTACCGTTTGGTAGAATAAATAATTTCCAAAACTAAAATAGATGAGGTTGGTAGTTCTGCGCGAGGTAAGTTTCAAGACTTACAATAACGTAGGCATAGCAGTATATTGTGTGACTTGACGCATGCATGTCTATTGCCTAAAGGGCTGAAACCCTAGCTAATAAATGCGCAATATATCTGGTAACATCTATTGTGTCTAAATGTTTGCTAATTAGAGAACGGCACGCATGGCATAATTACAGAATGTCGGTCCATGCTCTTTAGGCTATTTCGCGCAAGTCGAAGAAAAGTTCGAAGTCTAACTGTTCTACTATCATTGACATAATATAAAATGGAATTCAAAAGTTGTTCTATGCTAATACTGTGTGGGCTGAGATATCAACTGTATGTCTGCTGACGATATAATAAAATCGCTCGCACCCGAAAATCAGATCAAACATGTGCTTAACTATAGGAGCGTTTAACGTGAGTAATAATTTCCTTGAACTATACATTGGTAAACTAGAAAAAATGCAGGGAGTCATGCATTTGAGTTCATATCATTCGTGCGCAAGAATTTTATACAAAGAGAAAAATCCGCTGAGCATTCACCTTGAGCCCTGTGACCGTAAACGCTAGGACAGCGCATTATTATGCGTTTTTTCCAATTTTAAAGCCACCTGAGGCGACCGATAAAGCAACAACTTTCGATATTGTCCATACCACTCAAACTTTGTTTCAATTTATTTATAAAATTGACTTTGTTTCTGAAATTGGATCAGCAAAAACACAATTTTTCCTATTTTTTCTCACTTGGGTTGTTGGCAAGCAGATACTGAAAATTATTAGGGCAATTATAGATGACAAGGCCAAATAACCTGCATCATAAATTTGCAGTTGTTGCAAGCATTCAGTGAAATAATAGCCGCTTTGCTTTATAATTTTTTTGAAAACACTATATGAAGGAACACTGATCCTATAATAAAGGTTTTGCATTCCTTGCCCAAGTTAGCAACACACATTCACAAAAGTGCAACAACACTTATCAACGGTAACTAGTTACCGCGTCAACAGAGCATCAACAGCGGCAAATTTTTGTGGTTAGCTTAAAATGCAAATGAACATGCACCAAAAATAAATAGGCCATAGCCAAAACATCAGCAAAAAGTTTCGAAAAACATCCGAGGTGCGCTTTGAAATTTAAGTAAATTAGCATGGACTGAGAGCCAAATTTAACTCACAAAGCGTGGAAGGTCCCAGTAAATTTTACCGAACAAGCATTAACAAAACGGCGCAAATTACTTTTTCGATTGACAATAATCACTGAGAGTTTGCTCTAACATGGTTTATGTTTTTAGGATTGTACACCATTGGCATATGGTTTTCCGATGGCTCTAATAATAAACGCAGCCCGCTTCCAAAGTAGTTTGCAATCCCCCAAAGATTGTGAGCTGTAGCGCAAATTCCCCGAACAGCCGTACTTTTCCAAGAAAAAAATTCTTCAACTCCAAGTGCCGCATCCCTTTTTTATGACGGCTGCGTTGTCTCATTCCTAAAACTGGGGAGTTAATTGGAGTTAACCTTCGATGCGCAATTTAGTATTTTCATTGATCGTTTAAAAGCCGCCCTTACATTCGACAAGAGTTCGCGGTTCAGCCTTAACTCTGTCTGATTTATATAAAATAACTTCGTAAATTGTTTTGTATATCTAGGCAGTAAGGAGAATATTACTAAACCCTTATATAAATGGATCCTATAGGTTGTAGAACGTTCCGTGGCATTAAGTGGATCTAATTCCTGCATACAGGCTTCTCTTATTTATTTGCGTTTTAAGTTTTGGAAGACACCGCCTCATCGCTGTGCTTCCTTAAATTTCAAAGTTTTCAAAAATTATTAATAACTTACAACAAAAACCTGCTTATCTACCACAGAGTATGCCGCCATTTAAAAAGCCCAGTCAAAGTCGTCCAGACCACCTGCCTAAATCAAGTGATCATCCGCACCTCTTCCACGCCCCCGCTAACGCCACCTACTTGGCTCCGTCCGATGGGGAACGCAGCAATGGTATTCAAGGCGTCTTCGTAAGGCCGCAGAAAAAACCGCCGCCACCACCCGTACTAGAACGCCCACAAGTGATGGAAACGCCG